TAAGATCAGCATTGACGCAAGCCATACTGCCGGTTTCCTGACCCTGTTCGTCGTCACTAACATCCAACTCAGACGATTCAGATTCACTTATAACCTCTAAATCGGTGCAGTCTGGCTCATACAGGTATGGCTGAATATCCAGTGTGAAGCAAACATCTGGAATATCCTCGTTGTCACTAAAATCCACGGAATCCATAGCCCCGGTACCAACTAGTTCAGTAGTTGTTGTGACAGACGGTCGTCGCAAATGACGTCACAGCTCTTCCGGTTTAACGAACGATAACTCGTGCTAACTTGTATTTGAGATTTTCAATACCGGTTACAAAATTTGCTGATTTTCGCAACTTTTGTGTTTTCAAAATATTTTTTCATTTTACGGAAGGGATATTTAATGAATAATGCCCCCAAAAAATGCAAAATATGTGAAAATGAAATTGGGTTGTTATCACCTTTAAGTGCCAATGCATGTAGCTGTTTTGTCGAGTATCGGTAATTTTGTTGTAAGGAAATGGAGGTCACAACATTACCACAACATAGACAAAGTACAGTTATATGTATTTATTTTCCAAACTAAGCAAGTACATCATCAAACAAAAGTTTCCAGAGACATTGAACATTTCAAGAGTATTTATTTCGTGCTAGAAAAAATATTTACCGTAGGTTCAAACACAGTATGCATCTTAAAATAAATCGACATTAATAATTACTTCTAAAGGTGCCTGAATATTTTAATAAGAAATCGGTGATCCGTCAAAACAAAACTGTTTCGTATGGGGTTAATACTTTACAAGACCGATTTAACGTGTGTTCGTACCGAGTCAACTCTGGAAAGTCTGTGAAAGCGGATTAATTTTATATTAAGCGATAATTATACTAGGGCCAACAAGTACTTATAAAAGTTGAAAATATATATGTATGTATATAGAAAAAATAAGATTAACGACCGACTAAAAAACTAGCTGCTTTTCACCCTTCACCTCTTCAGGTTTATTCAAAAGATTTTTTATTTTTATTTTGACAGATCACAATTTTCTTATATATATATATGTATGTATATAGTGTGTAGGAGTGTGAATAAAATAAAGTACAGTTGTGGGAACGCACAACGTTACACGATGTTCGCACGGAGTGTGCACAATGAGTACACGGTGTGCGAACGATTGAAATATGGACGATAATTGTGCACATTTGTGCGGACGATGGACTAAAGTTGTGCGATGACAATCGTGGTTGGTCTAAATTGAGAAATGGCTTAACAATAAATACGGCTTCGTGTTTAAACATATCAACTTGATTTAAGTATATTTCTGTATTCTCGCTTCACATATATACATCAGCTGATCATTCTATCTGTATTTTCTTAAATTTATAAATGATGTTTTCCGTGTTTTCCAAACGAACCAAATCGACACATGTAAAATAGGTCATAAACACATACATGTATTGACACGGTCACGTATACAGGAACACATAGCCAATGCCTCCACCTGGGGCACTTACGTAACCCGCCTAGGTGAAAGGATGCTACAAACCAACACCGATGCAAATAACAAATACTTGACGCCCAGTTGTGTTTTCATAATGTTCATAAGGTATCACATTTCAGCTCTTTTTGTCAGGCACAGGCCAGGTACAACTTCGGTCAATCATCAAAATGTTATTTACCTGTTCTGTTACTTAGGAGCTTAACCCGTTCTTGACAGTATAACGGTCACTAATGCTGTGTAACACGCGTTCTTTATTCCATACGAGGGCTCCAATTTTTTTCATTCCGTAATGTTGATCAACCAACTCTACCAAATCGCCCATTTGTGCGGAGAGAAGCGATGCGAACGATTGTTAAAGCGCACAGTTGTGCGCACCATGTATGGACGATGCGCGGACGGTGTGTGCACGATGATGTGCGCACGCTATATTTGGTGCGTTGTGCGTTCCCACAACTGTATTACATTTACACTATAATTAGATAACTGACCTTATTCCATTAAAGTGTTTTATATACAAAGTAAAAATACATATACATATACATATACATACGTAGGGAATGACCTACTAAAATAACAATTTAATGACTGACAGGAAATCTAGTATGTACCAAAGTCGCTATGACATGGTGGCGGCCTATTTTCACACAAATCATCGTTTTTCTACCAGGTGGCGCCCTTGCTCAGACATACCACTGCTGTCATCACAGTCAGCAAGTTCAGCGAGCGGAGACCTGAAACACCAAATCGTTTCAAAATCAGAAACAAAGCATGGCGACAATTTTTAATTTTAATATTTGAAAATGTAAAACACTGTAAATTGACATTACTTTACCAGTATAGTCATAATTAGGTGTTTTAACATTACAAAGGTATGAAAACGATTCTTATATGTAATATTTATTTTCATACGCTGCAAAATCTCATTTTACATGTTGCATACTTTTAATTAGATGGCGAATATCAAATTTAGTATTATATATTTTTTTACAAGCGCTATTGCATGGAGACACATCCGTAAATGACCTTAGCTTGAAAGTTTGCTAAAAAAAAAAATTAAAAAAAATGGATACTACAAATAAAAACCGTTAGAATATATTGTTGCTGATATAGGGATATGGTACATAAAGCAACTTGTAATACGCACTGTCGGCTGAGCTAGGGCAGGTAGCCTGGAGTGCTGCGTCACATCCGGCATATCCCACTGTTTCGTCACTTCCGTCATCGCAATCATTAGAGCAGTCACACATCATTGACCACTGGACACACCTCATGGTTCCAGACTCGCATGTGAACCAGTTGGTCGGACACAGCTAGAACAACACAGATTACATGTGAACAAGAAAGTCGGATATACAAATTTGAATGTACACGTGAAGTAGCTTGTCATTTCAGACATCTTGAACCAGGTGGACGGAAATAAGTAAAGCAATGAATTGGAGCGTGATATACTATAGTTGATCGGAAATAAGTAAAACAACGTATTGGATAGTGAACCAGCTCGTCGGAAATAGGAAAACCAACGTGTTGGAGCATGATTTAGTGTATCGGAAATAACTAGAAGAATGAATTTGCTCGTGGACCAGTTAGTCATACAATTAAGGGACAGAGTTTTAGGCACTTCTTTACTTCATATATTAAGTAATTATTGCAGGTGAACATTTTGGATGGAAACAACTAGAAATGTATTCGTTAACCAAGTGATCAGACAATGCGACAACACATAATCACACTTTCGACACGACTAGGCTTAACACTTGCACGTAAAGCAGTGTTCGACGAGGTCAACTAGATCATGATCAACGCAGATAACAACTGAAGTAACCGTTAGAACGATACATTTACTAGGTACTTATTTTCCTAGTTTTGTATAATGTGAACAAGACAACAGCTCTTGTCTAAGCATTTTGTTTTAAAAACAAAGAGAAAATGTCTGGTATCTACCCCTGCTTGTACGATTTTTATTAAGCGTAACAGAAGCATGGACATATACATTGTACTTAACCCGTGCAGGTTCGCTGTATTCCACTGGATGATCGTTAGGACCGGATAATGTGGGCCCCTGCAGAATTAGGTATTTTTCCTTTTCTTCTATTTAGACATTGAAGAAATCAAGAAATGACCTACTGTATCCTACTGCATGTGTATTGTAAAGGGCGACTAATGAGCTGTTTCCTGCAAAATTGGGGTTTTCTTCTGTGTCTTATACAAAGGGGAAATGGAAGAGCTAAAATTGACCTGCTGCCCCCATTGAAACACTTAAAATCTTTTTCTTTACATATCTTTCATTTCTTCCTATCTTTTTTTCTGTTTCAGGCGGTGTCTCCCTAGGCACCCGTTCTCATATGACCCTGGATGTTGTGATGCCGTTAAACCCCCAACAAACAAACAAAAGACAGCTACTTACTTGCTGGTAAACTCCTGCTGCCACAGTTGGACATTGGGCTGTTCCACAAGTGTCAAACTCCCCTGTGGAGCCTGGGCAGATGTCACCGTTGCTAGAAGGCGCTGGGTCAGTACACGTTCGTGACCTTGACCTTATGCCCCCATCACACGACTTCGTACAAACACCCCACTGTAGCCAAGCAGCCCAGTTACCATCAACTAAAACATCGACAACAAATGGAAACTTTATTGTCCTTATCATATCTTTATAGTAAAATGTACAAAAAAAAAAAAAAAACAGTATTAAAAACAGGTACCTGAGGATTTTATACAATATACCTATATTTGGACCTAACCTAAGTGTTCAAAGTTATTCTAAACATTTAAGGGTCTAAATCAACTTTCGATAAAGAAACAGATAGGGAAGAAAAAAAATAAAGTCGAAAAATCGACAGAACATAATTTAATTCTTCGCTTCGAAAACCATATTTTACTAGATGCATAGAACAATGCTGTGAACCGTTGGCAATTTGGCCATTGCTCTGCTTTCACGAACCTCACGAAGAATGCATACTACCCTCACAGACATGATTTTCCTTTCCCCGAAAATAATGTTGCAAATGTGTTTTTTCCAGTGAAATCGACAGATTGACGTCAGCCAGGTGCTAATGTGATGTAATTAGGTGCGCTTGTTGAACAATTCGTGGTTTTACAGTCGACGTAATACACACGCGACATGATTTACGATTGACGTAGACATTCGTGAACATAGATTCTTAAAGTTTGAGTGAAAGATTAAAAACTTTTCAATCCATCATTGATAATAAAAAGCGCAGGCTTTCTCTAAAGACTGAATTGCTTTTCTGTTTATTATTTATTACTGACCGTATGCATGAAAGTATTTACGAACAAAATGTGTTGTAAATTCATATAAATCCCTCGCGGCATAATATTTCAGTGAGATTGCACTACAAAGTCAGCATCATATCCGCGCTACCACAAGGAGGCAAGCACACCAATATACCATGTCACCTGCATACATACCCCCTGCCCTGCAGGTAGGGCGTAAGAATTGTACCTGCTGCCCCCAATTGCATGATCGTAAGAGGCGACTAAATTTGGGACCTTATCTCTTCTCTCCTTTCTAAATAACTTTATTCTTCCTAATGTCTCCCTTGACAATGCCTCACTTTTGGCCATTTGTTGAGCGTTCGCCCCTGTGAGGAAGGCTTTGGGTTCTGTCCCCT